TAGGAAGTTTCTAGCTCCACAAGTTACATTACCAGGCCTAATTCAGTTTGGTTTGATGAAAAGAACCTTCTTCGAGTATCTGAGGGAGCTCTGATGTTCGTTACTAATTCCATGTTGCCCTGTAACCATGGAAATGTGATGAGACAGAGACTTGCATAGCAACAGGGCGCCTTTGAGTATCGTCCTAGCAGATTGGCTGAAATAAAGGGTTTCAGGCTAGCTTCTTTTATAAGCTGCACTATATGGTAATACCTGTTTTATATGACTATTATGTATAGGAAGATATTACCTATAGTTTGAGATGTAGACTGTTAATGTAACCTTTGAGAGCAGTGTACTAGAAATCATTACCATGCAATGCAAGTGTGCAGAATGAGATAACGTGCTGCAATTTTATGGTCTTTTGCCTTTTCGTGTACAACTTTAACAAACAGAGGGAAAAAATCAGGAGCCAGCTTGCTTGTTCTTAGCAAACAGTGACAATGACCTTTTTACTGGTTCATATGGCAGACTAGATGTTGAATTTGTTTTAATTATGTAACTTGGGCTGTACAGTATATTCAATGCTTTAGTTTAGTAAACATAACAGGTCCGTTTGCTGGTGTGTATAAATGACAGGGGTGTGAAGGAACTGCGTATACAAATAAAAGTGCTTCCGGTCACATTTCACCCCTATAAATAAGCTAAATAAATAAATATATATATTTATGTTTACATTCAAGTTTTTTCCCTCTAATTTTATTTTATTCTCAGTGGTGATTCTCATTGCCATAATGCAGTGCAGTACAATAATTCTTTTATCTACTTCAGTATAAATTAAAGCCAGCACAACAAATACTACAATGATTTTAAAAACTTTACAATGTTAATATTGTTAGAATTATTTTCTCACATTATTGTAATGAGATTCGGATAGGAAAATGTGCGTAATCATGATACTGTCAAAATTTTAAAAAATGTTTTCACTTTCTTTAAGCAAAATATTTATTTATTTTTTATTTTAGGGTAAAATATGGCATTAACATATTTTTGGCTGATTCAGGCATGAAATCAGAGAGCTCAATGCCTTTTGAAGTCATTATGAAGATCCAAGTCAGTGCAAGTACTGCTGTATGTGAAGGAATAGACTGAATGAAGCCATATTCTCTAAAGCTAGCATGCGTCAAAATTTTAAAAAATGTTTTCACTTTCTTTAAGCAAAATATTTATTTTTTATTCTAGGGTAAAATATGGCATTAACATATTTTTGGCTGATTCAGGCATGAAATCAGAGAGCTCAATGCCTTTTGAAGTCATTATGAAGATCCAAGTCAGTGCAAGTACTGCTGTATGTGAAGGAATAGACTGAATGAAGCCATATTCTCTAAAGCTAGCATGATGTATTCTTGCTGCGGATTAGTCTGTGGTTCAAAACAGGTCTTTCTCATCAGTGATTCAATAGAGAGTGACCTGATCTGTCACATCAAACAATGAAACCACAGCCATGCATGAGGAGAGATAGAGAGTCAGAAACTGAGGGGGAGGGGCAGAGAGAGAGACAGAGAGAGAGAGAAAGAGAGAGAGAGAGAGAGAGTGAGAGGCAGGTACATGTGGGGCTTGATTAGGGATTCATAAACTTGAGTGTCCCTGTCATGATCAAAACAAGGCCAGGCAAAAATAGAACCTGAAAGGATTTAGACATGTTGAGGTGAAGATTAAAGGAAATTGATTAAAGAGGGGGGAAATCATGGTCAGATGAACTGCAACAAACTCCACCCCCTGAACTATGGACACAATAATAAAGCGATGAAGACCTGCTGTAAACATTGTGTGGGTTACAGACGACCAAATGCTTTAATAAAATTGTAATCTGAATAGCACCAAAAATGTGAAAGGGTCATATCACAAATTTTTGGTAAATTAATTAATTTATTATTTTGCCCCCTTTTTCCCACTTATGTTGTTTGTAAAGTTTTTTGCACCAAAAATGGTCAAAATTTACTCCATGACCATTCCACCCTCTTTCTGACCTTTAGAATTAAATTTACCATTTTATGCCTTTAAAATCTCCAAGTAAATGTAGCATATGGAATGAGCGGTGTCCTATGAAATTTTTGGATTTTAAGGATTTTTACTGTATGTTATTATTTCAATGACATAAAACATCAAAGTGACAATATGTTTTGATCTATTATAAATATACTAGTATAATTAAATAGACTATTATATAAATGCTAGGGACATTTTTAAAATAAACGTCAGTTGCTTTTAAAGGAACATGCCACTATTTTTGAAAATAGGCTCATTTTCCAACTCCACTAGAGTTAAACAGTTGAGTTTTACCGTTTTCGAATCCATTCAGCCGATCTCTGGGTCTGGCGGTAGCACTTTTAGCTGCAGCTTTTAGCATAGATCATTGAATCTGATTAGACCGTTAGCATCTCGCTCAAAAATGACCAAAGAGTTATTTTTCCTATTCAAAACTTGACTCTTCTGTAGTTACAAGTGTACTAAGACTGACGGAAAATGAAAAGTTGATATTTATTTGATTATTTCCAGTTGTTTATTATGTTTATAGTTCTTTTTTATGCAATGAGGACAGAGGATATGATGTCTGCATGCGCCACCTAACAACTGAGCAGTTTGGATGCAATTTTGTCTGAAGCTGTTGGTTCAAACAAGGTTTTGGGTGGACAAATCTGAAATGGAATGATTCATAATTGCAGCAACATCTGGAGGGGCAGGTGTGAGTGTCAGAACACAGCGCTCCGAATCCTGCTGCTGAAATCCACTTAAGCTAGTGGGGTGGGAGTTTATTACATCAATTTAGTGGCAAAAGAGGGTTTTGATGCCATGATCTCAATGTGATTGCCTTTTTGACACCAATGCACCAAGGGAATCCACATGATCTGTCTCTTGTGTTCTATGTTTTTCACTGTATTAATGAAAATATGAAAAGCAGAGAGTGCTTATAGTGCTAAACTTTTATTAAATTGCTGATAGAGCAGACGAATTGTAATTGATCTATTTACTATGAATGCATAGGCTTCACTAAGAAGCATCTAAAATATTTAAAGTCAAACACTTTGAAGCAGCATTGAGGAAAATTCGGAATTTAACAATTGGCTTTTAATCCTTTCAAAGTTGGAAATTTAATGTAATAGTTCAATTTGAATTTAAATTGGAATAACAGGAAGAATACTGGTTTACACAACAAAATGTGCAAGAACAGCCACTTAAGTGTTCTTTTTAGAGGTGAAAAGATGAAGTTTTTTTTCCCCACATTAAAAAAAAGTCATGTGCACTCACAGGAGATGAAGAATCAAGTCATACCAGTCTTTTTTTCCCATGCTGAGATCATAACCAATCATGTGATCTAAACATCACACATTCTAGGAAATGAAATAAAAATGAGTAATATAAGTACAAATTCAAAGTATAATTCTGCTATGTCATTTTGAATTCATGAATTTATTTAGCATTCAAAAGGCATTCTAAATTCAATTGTGAATCATACACAGCCTGCATCAATGGCAGAATACACTTGAATCCTTCATTTCCAGAAGCCAGATGTTTTCAGGCTGAGCCGTATGGGGAATTCGTTTTGTAACTCAACCATTTTGAACCTAATCAGTGTGATTATCTGAAGAGTGTCTCTGTATTAGAAAAAATTAATTTCTGAGACAAGGTACATAATATTGATAAGTATCATAGAATTCAGGATTTTTTGGAAGTAAATTCATCATCTTCTATCCTAGCACATATGATTCTCTGGAAGGACAGTCAGGAGATTAACAATGTTCCAGCTCTCAGATGAAAAAATGTCCTCTCGCAGACAGTCGAGGCTGACAGTGGTTATTAATAGGAGGCTCTGGAAGATGATCTCTTAATGGCTTTAAAAGTTGGAAAATGCAGATGTTCCTAAAATCCACAGTGGCTGCTTTCACAATAAGGATGAAGATGAGGTTCCTCCAGTGGACTGACCTTTACTCCTCTACATAGATGCTTCCTTCTCTCCCAGGCCCAGAACAACAAGGACACCGCACTCCTTATTTTGTAGGCAGTGACCTTTCATTTCCCCTCTCCTTCACACTTTTCTTCTATATGCACCTCCCTTTATTTGCTTTAGGTGTCACACTGTTAATCTGTCTCCAGTCAATGCCACAGGAATCAACATACAGTGGCCACAAAAAGTATTTAAACACTTAAAGGAATAATTCATCCAGAAATGAAAATTTACTCAGATTTGAAACATTTTAGCATTATATAACTTTTAGCATTACATCACTTGCTCCCCAGTGGATCCTCTGCAGTGATTGAGCTTTTCACTTCACAAGACATTAAGTGATGGACTGGAGTTGTGTGGATTATTGTGATGTTTTTATCAGTTGTTTGAACTCCCATTCTGATGGCACCCATTGGTGAGATTCTCCAAATCTGTTCTGATGACAAAATAAACTCATCTACATCTTGGATAGCCTGAGTAATTCTTTTAGCAAATTTTCATTTTGGGGTGAACTATTCCTTTATTCCACACTTAAACATGCATGAATTTCATTGCCTTAGATAAAAATACCAAGTTGAACATTATTTACTTAAAAACATTTATTAGAAATTTATTACATTTATGTATAGAAAATATTTTATCCATGCAATGAAATTCATATATTTTATTACATGTGTGACTACATATTTTATTACAGTGTCCAAACACTTTTCCAGAGCCATTGTACAATACAACGAAGTCAACATACTCATTCAATGGAAAATATTTACCCATTCAACTCTCCTTACTCAGCCATTCCACCATTTCTTCCGAAGTCAATTAACTAACCTCTGCCACATGCTAAATCTAGTAAATCAGACTGTGATGAGGCTGCACAAATATTTCTGTTATGTCCCATCTTGGTGTAAGTGATTTCATCTCTTATTGGGAAGATGCTTTGCAATCTTGTTCTCAGTATGTCTACAGGAAGCCTTTAAGACAATCACACAAACACACACTCATGCTACTGCACACAATGGACCAGGGAGCACCTCTGAAGGAAATCTCAATAGACATGGAGATAAATGAGGAGGAGGAGGTGTCTTCACTCTTGGATCAGCGTGAAATTAATCCAAATGATGCTCCTGGTGTTACAGATGCGCAAACAAAAGGACAGGATTCATCGGCTCCTCACAGTAACACAAAGGCTCTCATCAAGGACAGGGACCCAAAGGGAATCAACAAGTGTCTTAAGGTGAGTCATACAATCAACACAGTGCAGACTAATGTCCTGCTGCTCTTTTCAGGCTTACATATATTTATATATGTACTAAAAGAGAGGTTTCTCCAGACTGATGGTAGTCCCATTTAGACTTTTTTTTTCTCTGTTTAGACACAATACTAACCTCAGCCATGTGCTGAATTTATGTGTGTGTGTGTATGTTTGTACTGGTTTATATATCCTGGTGGGGACTTAAACGTCCCATTTAGACTTTTTTTTCTCTGTTTAGACACAATACTAACCTCAGCCATGTGCTGAATTTGTGTGTGTGTGTGTGTGTGTACTGGTTTATATATCCTGGTGTCCAGACTGATGGTAGTCCCATTTAGACTTTTTTTTCTCTGTTTAGACACAATACTAACCTCAGCCATGTGCTGAATTTATGTGTGTGTGTGTATGTTTGTACTGGTTTATATATCCTGGTGGGGACTTAAACCTGAATACACACAGACTCATGGGGACTCGTGTCATGGTGGGGACCTAAATTGTGGTCCCCACGGGTACAAAAGCTTATAAATCATACAGAATGAAGTTTTTTGAAAATCTAAAAATGCACAAAGTTTCCTGTGAGGGGTAGGTTTAGGGGTAGGGTTGGTGTAGGGCAATAGAATATACGGTCTGTACAGTAGAAAAACCATTACGCCTATGGAGAGTCCCCACAAGGATAGTGAACCAGACATGTGTGTGTGTGTGTGTGTGTGTGTCTGTCACATTTTGTCACCATTACACATTGGTGGGGTTTTTGAAAATTCAGTTTGTACCTGTTTGTACTGTATGCAGTATGAGTTCTTGACTGAAAGCTATTGAACATTTCCATTTGAATAAAACTTCAATATAGACTACAAAAACATGTCAACTTGCCCCAATATAAATGGGACAACTTTAATTTTTCAATTAAAATCTATCGTAATTACATACTTGACCCTTACCTGAATGTTTTTCCGTATTGCTGTTTCTTAAAACAGCCTGTGGCGAGTTGCTGTTACAGTCTTACATCTGAATCGACGGTATAACGAATAGTGGGCGCTACAACGTTAGTAATGCTACAATGCCCTCTTATGTTAAACAACGGTATTGCAGGATCTTGTAAAGCCAAAGACAGATTTTAATTCACTCAGAGTAATCCGTTATCAAGAAGTTGGTAGGACGAGTAAAAGGTCCAAAGCTATGGCGGTCTAAAAATAGCTTTTCTGATGATGTGTCTACTCAGGTGAGCTTTGAGGATGTGCTAGCGGAGCCTGCTTCAGTGAGAAGCTTTGATAAGGTGTGGCTGTGGAGTCATGCTCTGTTTGAAGTGTCCCGACTCTGGTTTTACCGCATCGTTTCCCTGCTGCTCGCGGTGCCCGTGGCTCTGGCTGCAGGCCTTCTCTTTGCTGTCCTCAGCTGTCTACATATTTGGTGAGTCACGTGTGAGTGAACAGTAAATCCCAATAAAGCAACAATGTGGCAAAATCAGTTATAAAACTAGTTATAACATTATATATTCCATTATAACATTATATTGCATTAACGTTTTGTTAAGAGTAGTAGGTTGTAAACTCAATAGTTAACGTGAACTCGCAGTAAACAATACAGTACAAAATCAGTTATAAAACTAGTTATAACATTATATATTCCATTATAACATTATATTGCATTAACGTTTTGTAGTAGGTTGTAAACTCAATAGTTAACGTGAACTCGCAGTAAACAATACAGTATTTATTAACCTTATTTAATCCTTATTTTTCCATGTAATTTTTTTTAATCAAAATGTATTATTATTATTATTATTATTGAAAGTGTTAACATATTTTTTATGTAAATAAATAAACCTTAATACTGTGAAAAATATTTGTGATAGTTCATGGGCTCATGTTAATGTAAAACCTCATTGTCAAGTATTGCCTGTGCACATATAAGCAAAAGAAAATAACACAGATAAACACAGTATTTTAATCAATAGTTACTATAGTAACATTTCCGCCCTTGTCTTTTAAGCCTATCAAAAATTAAACCTCATCTATAACAGCTTTCAGGGTGCGTGATGTTTTTCCCCTTTTGAATGTGTTCTAACACTAGGTACTGTTTTGTTTAAAAAGTTTAAGGCCATTAACACACTTACACCAGTGACAGATGGGAGATCCGTCAAGCTTAGATCATTTCCGGTGACTGCTATACCTCCCTCTGTCATTTAACATAGACAAAGCTGGTACATTGTTTGTTAATTTTAATTTAAAACATGTGGGTCTGGGTTTTTGTGGAACATCACCTATGATGTGATTTTTCCAGGAGAAGTAATTGCCAAGCGCACTCAAAATTGTATGGTTTGTCAAGTAAATCATTATATTTGCCACAAAGGCTTATCTGACACCAAAGCACAGCCAAGAAAAGGTATTCAGCTGTGTCAAAACTGGATTGAAGACTAAAAGAAAACCAGAAAGCTAATGAAGACTTATCTGCCTTCTCTCCCTATTTAGGCTGATAGTTCCCAGTGTGCAGCTCTTGGTCATAAACTTGCACTGGATAAAGGTGGTCTGGCATAATGTGCTGAACATTGCAATCTCCCCCTTCTTCAGAAGTTTTGGAAAGTGCTGTGGATTCATCAGAATCAGTCTGGAAAAATATTAACCGCATTTCAGAACTAAAGAATCAGCATTGAAAGGCAAGGGAATTCTGAAAATGATATCATGTACATCATATACATACATGTAAATGTCTCTTCGGTTGCATTTGATTTTGGATATGCAGTTGCAGCATATTTGAAACCTGCTTGTTTAAATTGAGGTGGTTTTTCTCATTTAATAATTTTCATCATGCCGAAGTACGGTCTGGAGTACCCAATCTTGGCAATATAAATCTGATCACTTGTAATTAGGGTTGGGTATCGTTTTAATTTGATCAATTCCAATTCCGATTCTGCTTATCGATTTCGATTCTTTTCGATTCCCAGTTTCGATTCCAATGTGATTAAATAATGATATCAAACATTTATCCTGTGTCTCTTTTTTGCAAGCCATTTATTGGAGCTGAATACCATAAACAAAATCAACAGGCTACATAAAACTGGACTCTTTAAGAGCTGTTTGTGTGCAAAATAGAACGGCATGATTCTGGATAAATTGAGTTGGGTTTTTTTCTTCTCTTTTTCCCCCCAATGGAAGTTGTGGTTCTCTCATGATTCTGAAGAAAAAACAGTAGACAACTAAACAAAATCACATGTAACTTATGAATTAATGATTAAATGACTCACTCAAGATGTACTTGTTTCATTACTGGATG